TCCACATAGGTATGCTTTTGCTAAGTAATACATATATATCCCCAGCTTTTGTTTGTTCATTTGCAGGCTGTGGGTTACAGTTTAATGCCCAACAACAAAGATGAAGATGGCCTCGTGGTCTTGGTCTTTAACAGAAAAGAAACAGATATTCGAAGCCAGCAGCAGCAGCTTGTAGAATCACTACACAAAATTCTGGGAGGAAACCAGACCCTCACTGTCAACGTAGAAGGTGTTAAAACGATGCCAGATGACCAGTATGTGAACTTTACACAGTTTTGCTTTTTTGTCCAGTATTGTGTGTTAGAAAGGGTTGGCGCTTAGTCCACTCTGTCTCCCTTTCTCCTTGATGTTACATCTGTTCATCCTGAATTTGATTTCATGTCTCTCATTCTTAAGGTGTTAAGTCCACTATCTTTCTTATGTACGTTACTTGCTTTTGCTGAGGACCTCAGTTCAGGAAATGGGCTTCTCCAGACTCTGCTCAGCAACAAAAATTGGAGATGAGGGTGCTAACCATGAGGGTGGAATAAATGCTTAGTGTTTTAGGAGCCATGAGGTATTCTTCACTTGGCCATGCGTAAGGTGGAAGGGCACTGGGGTGTGTAGTAACAGTGTCTTTGCAGTGTCCTGTATTGCAAATGTCTGTTTCGGTGGGAAGGCTGTTCCAAGGCTAGTTGAGCTGGCTCCTTCTGCCTGTATTATGTCAGCGTGCTGTCTGCTTTGACTTGTCTGGGGGCCTCAGGGTAGGCTGCCCGAAGTACTGCAGCATACTGACATTTCTTCTTACTTTCCCACAGCTTGTTCGTTCTGTTTTAAAACCCAAAGGATTTAGGTTATTCTTAATGTAGGACTAGCATCACCATGTAATTTGGTGGTTAAAACTGGGGGGAGGATAATTTTGTAAGGTGTTGACAGCTTTTCTCTTTCTGCCTTGCTGCATAAACCCTGCATTTGCTGGTACTTTGTATCTCAGTTAGCTAAGGGAAGTTAACAGGTAGCTGGGAGAAGTGGTAACTTGGATTTAGGGTTGTTCTTCATTGTGTTAGTTTCTATGCGCTGCTGACCCTTTCCTGACAGTACATGTTTTGTCTTGCTCAGGACAGAGGTGATCATTTATGTTGTTGAGCGCTCGCCCAACGGCACTTCGAGGAGAGTTCCCGCAACGACCCTCTACGCCCACTTTGAACAAGCCAACATAAAATCATCCCTGCAGCAGCTGGGGGTCAGCCTCTCCATGGCCAGAACAGAGCTGTCCCCGGCACAAGTCAAACAGCTCCTGCAGAACCCTCCTGCCGGTGTGTGGTCTGGGGCTGCGTGGGGGCACGGTTGGGGCTCTCTTGGGTCTCTGGGAAAAATGCAGGTGTCAGCCCACTGGAAAACACCTTTTAAAACTACAGGAGTTTCCAAGGTGCTACGACATGTTAACGTAGTGATTTTAATTACAGCCAGTTTTCATACTGAATTACAATATAGTCTACCAAGACAGTTACGATTTATGGTAACACGCCACACAATACCATACTATATGATTTAGCCATCATAAATCACTTCAACTTATCCAATTAAAAAAAAAAGTTACCTATCAGAATAATCACGTCCTAAATTCACTTCCTAGTTTTCAGAAGAGTCACTTAACCTGTACATGTGGCCATGGATAGTGTATATACAGCTTGGTTTTAGACTACTTAAGTGCTGTTCATGCCGTTTTGTAGGAGAATTGTAGCTCATTCTCTATGTCCCCCGTAGTACTTGCAGTGAACTCCCTGCAGTGGGTCTGGTAAAGCAGCCTGTGGTTTCCAGCAGACAACACGTAGCATGTAAAACAAGACCATAGCGTTTAAAAACACAGCAAAGGTTCTGATCTCTGGATTGAGAGAAGAACTTGGCTTACTCTTTCAGAGAACTGAGACAAGCAGCAGCAGACAACGCAGAGACAATGCGGCAGCACTGGGGAGAACTGTTTGCTCTGTGCACACACAGCTTGGCTTTCTTTAGTGTCAGAGGTGCATCTTAAGGGCTGTGTAACAATGGTTGGGCACAGCTTGTTAGTCCATGACTGAGAAGGAAGCTGAGTTTGTAGGCTGGCTAGTCAAGCAGTAAGATGTGCAAGAAGAGGTGTTAGTGCGGAGCTCTAGAGAAGCAGTCACACCCGGAGAGATGAGGTTTGCTGTAAAGACAATGGGTTTTATCAGGAATGACCTGGAGTCTTGTGCGGTGAAAAACGTTGTGGCAGCTGGCTGTTCTGGTCTCCTCTTCAATCTGGGCTGAAACTGTTATATTACCAGCGCTTTTTTTTTTCTTCTTTTTGGCATTTCTCTGTCTGTCCAGCAAGTTGGTTGCTTCCCTGTCGGTGTTGCCATTTTTTTCCCCTAGCATACCTGGTTATGTGCATTTCATAGACTGATCTGATTTGCAGTGGGGTTTGGAGAATGCAATAGCTTGTGTCGCGATGTTGCTGTACGTGTACAATTAGACTGCTTTTATTTTACATAATTACCTGATGAAGCAGTTCATGGCAAAACAAGCAACTGTTCTGTCAACAGATAAAATCCTTAGACAAATCCTGTTAGGAACCATGATAATTCTTTTTTTGGGATTATTTTGCCAACTGGTTTGGTACTTCAATGACTTAATTACTGATTTTTAAATATTTTTTTTTAATACAATAAGCAGCTTGAAGAGGAAGGGTGACCCAAGCGTAGCATATGGTGGAAACAATAGGAATTTTTCTCCTCGAAGTATGGATGGTCAGATTTGATGGCCTGTGGCTTGTTCCTTTCCCATGCTTTCAAAACAGAAGTGCTTGACAGCCTTTCGGATTGAACTTACTGCCACAGTCCAGGACCAAGACTTTTAAGAAGTACCCTTGTTTAATTAACCTTAGTCATTCAGATTAGCGTAGTTCATGGCGTTTGTATATTTCCAAGTATTTTTCCTGCTTAACAGATGTAAGATATGGTATCTATTCATACTAAAATCTTGTTTGTTTTTTCTAAGGTGTTGATCCTATTATATGGGAACAAGCCAAAGTAGATAATCCTGATCCTGACAAGTAAGTCTGATTGTCTGAGTATTACGAAAAGACTTGGAAAGGGGAGAAATATGTAATATCGTGTAGTACCCTTCAGGTGACTTATAAGAAACTTCTGAGAGAATAACTTTGCCAGGTGCTGATCTCATTTGAAGCAGTGAGGATTACTAGAAATGCTCGTCTAATCCCTTTACCCATTTAGGCGCTTAAGGGTTGGTAGGATTAAGAACCTTACTTGAGTTACTTGAAGTTGTGGTGTCCTTCGTGATATGGACTAATTATTGTGACTTGCTTTTGCAACTGGTAGGGTTTTTTTTCCCCTTTATTCCTGCAGCTGAAAGTGATGTACCCTTGTATCCTCCAGTGGTTACAGATAACTTAGGCTGATTTCTGTATGAAAAAGGAAGGCTTTGTTAGGAATAGTGAGGACTATAGAACTTAGCAAAACAAGATATATTTGTTGTAATTAATAATGTAATATTATATTTTAAATGTATAATATTATAGTAGACCTTAATTTATAATAGGCCAAGATTATCTGTGACTTTAGGTTATATTCATAATTATTAATCCATACCACATGTCTAACAAAAATGTGTGGTAAGAAATATTTGTGTTGTAGGCTTATTCCTGTGCCAATGGTGGGTTTCAAGGAACTACTGAGAAGATTGAAGGTCCAAGATCAGATGACCAAACAGCATCAAACTCGATTAGATGTAAGGTTTCTCATGTTTATCACGACTGCTTGCTGTTGACAGAGGATGTGCTATTAAATGAGCTTCCCCGTGTGCCTCCTGGGTGTTGAAAACTGAAACTGGAACCATGTGCGTGGGGCTGTGACTCTTTATCACTATTTTTTAAAATATTCCCGAACTTTATTTTTTGGCCAAACACTGAGCAGTGCATTTTAGCCTTTGGGTTTTTTTCAGGTTCAAGCTTGCTGTGTTGTTACAGGCTAATTCAAACCAGGTGAATTAAGTTGCACTGGCACAAGAAAATAAATAGAAACCAGAACGGTAGAGGTTTAGCAAAAAGCTTTCTGAAGGCATCTTTGGCGAGGACACTAAGTTGCTGGACTGTTTTGAAACTCCTGGTTTGAAATCAGGACTAGTGTGTTCTGTTAACCAGAAACTCTTGGGGCTTCCAACTGACTCTATCTCCTTTGCAGATAATATCAGAAGATATCAGTGAGCTGCAGAAAAACCAAACAACCACCATGGCAAAAATTGCACAGTACAAAAGGAAACTGATGGCGCTTTCTCACAGAACGTTACAGGTAACATGGATCGTCTAAATAACTCGTGCTGACACGCAGCCTAGTGCCAGATGGGAAACCGAGAGGGGGCAGGATGACCTGCGCGATCTTGTGCATGGGCAGTGTTGAAAATGAAATTCTGGCTTCATCTAAATTGTATTGATTTACATAACAGGCAGAGCTGTCAGGGGAAGCTTCAGATGGGCAGCATGTCTGATGACTTTGGGAACCTTGTCTTTTACTTAGTCAGAAGCTGTGGGACTGTCATGAGGTCTCCGCACTGTCGTGAGGTCTCAGAGCAGCAGACTAAACAGCAGAAGAAATCTGATGAGCGATGTGCAGGAGGAAGGGCAAGAAGACCTGTGGCTGGGCTACTGGGGAAAGAGATGGGGAAAGTCTTCTCTAACAAACCTCAAAGGCTTCTTTTGTAGGTGTTAATAAAGCAGGAGATCCAAAGGAAAAGCGGTTATGCCATTCAAGCAGACGAAGAGCAGCTTCGTGTACAGTTAGATACAATTCAGTGTGAACTTAACGCACCTACGCAGTTCAAGGTGAGTGGTTAATAGAACTTTGCCAGCAACTCTCTTTTCCTCACAAAAGAATGTAAGTTTTCCAAACCATGCGTAGTATAATTTGCTGTGCAAAGCTTTCAGAAGAGAAGTCCAGCAGTGATAGTAGGTTGTAGCAGCATGCTCTTTGCTGCATGACTGATAGGTATTTAAGTAGTTTTGAATTCGTGGAAGTGTTGGAGTTGCCTGCCCTTTGCATGTCTTTCAAAAAAAAAAAAAAGAAAATTACAAATGGAATGAGGGGCAATGCTTCCTGCCCTGGTGACTGGAGGAGTACTCCATGCTGGAGCTCTGACAGATGTACGTGAGGTGCATTTGATTTAAGCCTGTTTCTCTTCCCAGGGCAGACTGAATGAGCTCATGTCCCAAATTAGGATGCAAAACCACTTTGGAGCGGTGCGGGCAGAAGAGCGCTATTACATAGATGCAGATCTCTTAAGGGAAATCAAGCAAGTAAGTATTACCGGGTAGAATCCTGGGAGACTCTTTGAACTTTGTAACTTCAGCCAGCTACGCCCTAACTTGGCAGGTCAATCTAGAATGACATGGTTTGGTAATTGTTTGTTGATGAAGTCTTTTTCCCTGTTCTCAGTGACAGTGCATCTGGGTGTTGTGCAGAACCCCTCTATGCAGTTAGGCTATTAGTGCAGAAAACGCTGGTTTTTCTTCTTCCGAAGAGGTTGTGTTGGGCTTTTCAGTGTGCCAAGGCCACCAGCTATGGCACATTTGAGAAATATGACTTAAAGCCTGTGAGGCTGGACTATGCTTATGTTGGTGTTTGAACACTCTGCAGCATCTGAAGCAGCAGCAAGAAGGCCTGAGTCACCTGATTAGCATTATAAAGGATGACTTGGAGGACATCAAACTTATAGAACATGGGCTGAACGAGAGCATTCCCATCAGAGGAGGAGTCTTCAGTTGACGTGGTGGATGCTGCTGGGCTTACACAGAACCTGTTATTTGAGTTCATGGTTCACCTTCCAAGGCTAAAACTGTTGAGGTAAAATAAAACACGTATCTTCTAGGAGCAATGGTATTTTGGCTATTACCTTTAGAATTAGTAAAGCCTCTTCTAAGCTTTTGAACTTGACCTTTGGAAGGTTTATATTTTATAAAGCTGTATATGCTTTAATAAAAGAAGGAAAACTGAATCTGTTCAGATGCTATTTACTATAAAACTATATGTACTATTGTACATTTTTTCTTTTTTCTTTTTTTTTTCCTTTTGTACAACAGCATTGTCTGAGAAGTGCAGTGCTGAAGAAATTGTTCCACTTGTGACTTGGTTTGTGGAAAGCTTAGCCAGCTTCCATGTTTTTGTCAAAACAATCAAGTAACATCATTATGTAAACAGCTAATTTAAATCATTACAGTTATGTATGTTGCTGTAACTGTGTCGGTCTCTGCAATACTGGTAGTTTACTGGGGCAAGCTGCAAGAAGTTGGTGTTTCCAGTTTCTGTTCTTCCTTTGGACTGCAAGGATCTGAAGGTTATGTTTTTATTACTTTACGTATATAAATTATACAAAGCTTTGCTGCCCCTTAAATAACAACAGAATGTCTAGACATTGTCTTCTGCCTTTTTTTAATTGCCAGAGAATAATAAATTCAGTCTGACTTTGTAATAACTTCTGCATGGTGTTGGGTCTTCCTCAGCTACATCAGCAAAGCAGTGAAACCATGAACAGCTCCAGGTGCCTGAACTGCACTCTCCTTCTGGTACTGCAGGTTACAGGCTGTCACAACCCCTGCCCCAGCGCTGCTTGGCAGCCTCTGTCCCCAAACTAAAAGCCAGGGTCACATCCCTTACATACTGTCTGGTACCAGGTACTGCAGAGCAGGTGGCTGCTACATGCGTTGGAGAGCCAGCTTCCCCCTGCCCCGTTACCTTGTTATAAAAGTCACTGAAAATAACAGACAAAAATACATTATTCTGGTACAGCAGAAACAGCTTAAGCACGGTAGAGACAGAATCATTTTGTTAGTTAGCCCCACACAAAAAAAATTCCATTCATAAAATTTGAATGAAAAATAGGAATACAGCCTCAGCATGCTAGAGCCTGTATTGTGCATTTGAAAGAGTATTTTTGGAAGCCTGGTTCCATTACAGTTGAAAAAAAGTGTATGTGGAACTCAAATTAAGGGGGGAAAGGGTTAGTTTATTTTTGGAAACATGGTTCCAATTAATGTAATACCTCAAATGTGCCCTACAGGCTCTAGCAGGATCTCTTCTAAGAAGTCAAATGAGGCCAGAATTCTCTTTTTCAAGGGCCAGGGTAGCACTCTTAAGTGAAGTCTTCAGCCATTGTGCCCCAGCTGCATGTTTGAGGTAAATACATACAAGGGTTTTTTCTTTGCAAACACTTCAACGCCCCCCCCACCTTGCTTTTGTGAGCTGCAGTTGTACCATGCTTGGAAAATACCTTGAACATGCAGCACTGGCACTGTAGCAGGGGGCTACTCGATCTACTACCCTGGTCTTTGAAAAAGAAGTGGTCTCAATAGCTCTCCTAAAAAAAAAAAAAAAAAAAAAAAGCCCCCTCGCTAGAGACAGTTTTGCATCTTTGAGATGGATCATTTCTTCAAAGTGATGCTCCACTGTAGCTTCAACCTTACAGAACAAACCACAGCAAAGGAGCAAGGGAGGGGAAGGAGGTATTGGCACTGCAGCAGCACTGCTCCTAACAGTTGACAAACTAGAGAAGGCATGAACAGCCCAGAAACAGTGATCTGGAAAAAACTGTTTATTGAAAGCAGTTGCTACCCGGTTAAAACATTGCCTACAAGAAATACCTTTACTTCCATTTTACTATGCTTAAATAGACCTGTAACATTTCAGCATATGTGTTGACAAGATAAACTAAGTTGCATCTTCCCTTTGAGCAGGAATTTCTACTTAAACCATGGCTCCTTTTTAAAAATGGTCAGAGTTGAAGTGTAGCTTATCAATTTTACCCATTGCCTTCCCCAAGTGGATCACAGCTGTTGGCTACGGCAGTCACTGTTTTCAACCAGTAAGTGCTACAGGTACCTGCCTTCCCTTTCCCTGCTTCGCATCCACAGGCACGCTCTGCAGTGAGGTAGGAGGCGGTCCTCCTGGCTTTGTGGACAGTCAAGGCATTGGACATGGTGACCCTCACTGGTTTTTCGCTACTGGGACTGCTTGACAAGGCGGAAGGCTTCTAGAAACTCATTGAAGTCGATGTTTCCATCCTTATTGAAATCAATGCTGCGAACTAAGTCATTGATGCCGTCATCTGTGAGTTCAATGTTCATGTGGGCGCTGAACAGCTTCCAGGTTTGGTGGAATTCCTCAAATGAGATGAGACCTGGGAGAAGGAAGGCACAGCCCCCTCAGCGCAAGGTCACCACAGGTACTGCTGCCAGTCAGTCCCTGCTCGGCATGCAAGGAAGGACCCCTGCTGAGGCTTAATCTCTCATCCCACCCCTGGTGCCTGCATACTCTAAAGGGAGGAAAGAAATCACTCATAATCTACATTTCACATGCTGAAACTAAGTTTCCTAGCGCAGAGAACACTGGCTAAAATACAACTTGAAGCAGTAAAGAGACATAATACAATTTGGGAGAACAAAAGAAGGCAAAGACTGTTGTATTTTTTCTTTCCCGAAGTAATTTGGTGGAGATGACTGCTTGAAAGCAGCTAACGCTCAAGATCTGGAGTACGCTGCATTACTGTCATGGCTCTCATCATGATTTTTGATCTCCTAAACTCCTCCAGAACAAATAATTATTAATTCTCTACCTGGACTGCACACAGTCCTTGAAACCCCATCATGTTTGTGGAAGCACGCAATGCCATTTCAAAAACTCGAGGGAGGAGAAAAAAACAAGCCTTAAACCATTAAATAAAAATGCCTTTGTACAGATGAAAGGGAGCCCAAAACTAGAATGGAGCACAAGGCAGTGACCGACAGCCTCTGCCCAGCTGCTTACCTGAATGATCTCTGTCTATGATCCTGAATATGGTCTCCAAGTTGGATCTGTTTCGATAAATGACTTCCAGCAAGCTCGACTGGATGTGCTGAAAGACAACATGGTCACACGCTTTCTACCCTTCTGACAGCTGTCTGCCTTCTCTGAGCAGTTACTGCAGACCTTCCCATAAATGAAAATGTTTACTGCTCTCAAGAGTTTGCCAGCAATGCACTTTGCATCGTGTGTGCCTTACGAAATAGGTTTGTGATGACTGGACCCTCGATGCAACCCTGCATTATAGCACATCAGCAACCTATCGCTTCCAACAGAGAAGACGGTGACTTGGGCTACGTGTTTTAACCATTGCAGAGCTGTTTTTGCTGGGTGTAATTAAGAAACTGCAACTCGGAGAACAGAATATAGGTTTCTTACTCAAAAGCCCACATCCAAAACTACCTCTAGGTTTTGATTTCATGTGTGTCATTGTTTCTACAATGGGACACTGGACTGCTTGAATTCATGCCAGCTTTTCCATTGACTTCAGTATCATTTTGGATTCTACAGGAACCATCCACTCTCCTTTTGTACCATACTTGGTTGCGTGTGCTGGGGATCTGGTGAGCTGCTTTGCATCATGCTTTGAAGAAAGAGGGCGAGTCCCTACCTCTTGGCTCCGCTGCTCCATGGCCAAGTCGTCGAGCCAGGACTTGTATTCCAGCATGCCGTCAGCTGTGCTGGGCACCAGCTGTGGTCTCAGCATTCGCCAGGGCAATCCCAGGTGCAAGACTGACTCCACTGCCGTCGCCCAGTTGCTCAGTGCGATCCTTCCTGTAAGGAAAAGGGAGAGACTGGCAGCTGAAAGCACTGGAAGCCAAAGCAAAAAGCCTGAAGCAGTACACATACCCAGTCTCCCGTGCTGCTGACAGCAACAGCGTTATTTCTCCACGGCACACTCGAACACTTCGGTGGGGGGGAAAACCCTACATGGCTGTACAGACATCAGCCACTGCAGGCACAACTGCACCTGCTGCTCCCCCCAGCCTCAGCAAGCTTTTGATCGCTGCAACAAATCAGGGCCATGGGGCTGCAAACATCTGAACAACAGGAAGACGCCAACTTTGGATATTTCATTAAAAATTTGTGGCCTACCACCAAGGTCACTGTGCAGATCGTGGCCTACGCTATGGCACTAGTACTTCCTCAGTGACCCAGGAACATGGAAAAGCCCCTAGTTGAGCAGCTGCTGTAACAGCTGAGCTGGACTTTTGTGAACGATTTTGCTGGCAGGGAAAAAAAGCAAGAAAGCAGTTCTGCCAACCCCTGTGTCCCTCTTCTCCCATGGCCCACAAATGGACAGCTCTCTGCACCAGCAGAGCACTCCTGTCGGCCCAACAATTATGAACTCTCAGATCCTTTGTTAAGGTTCTGACAGAGGCAGCTGCCAACAGAGAACATCCCTTGCTTTCCCCTTCCCAGTGATTTTAGTCTCCAGAGATGAAGGGGCTCAATAGACCACCCAGCCCTTCCTAAGGGACACGATAGGCATGTTCGAGGTTGTGTTTTCCAATGCTTCATCAATACTCCTGTTCCAAAGGGTTCTCCTAGTACCAAGCCTAAATTGCTACACATTACCTCTTGCTTCTCTGACATCCCCGCACTATAATGGCACTCTGAGGCATTAACAGGTTCCCAACAGAGACACCGAGTAACAGCAAATGGGACCAACGCTCCGGCAAAGCCTGACACAGCCTCCTCCTGTGACAGTCGCTGACAGCTATAGGTGAGAAGTCTCCCAACTGGCCGCATGCTCAACTTAGCCACTTCAGTCCTGTCCTACCAGGGAATTAACCTGAATGTCCCTTGATTCAGATTTACCTGTATTGTCCTTATCGTAGGCCTTGAATGCGCTGATGAGGGCTGAGGTGTGAGCAAAGAGCTTTTCCCGCAAGGCTCGAAAGGCTGACTCCTCTACTCTGCTGATTCTGGAGGATGCAGAAAAGAGAGAAACACATTAAGGACTTGCCACAAAGCACAAGAGACGCTGCACCTTCCCGTTCCTCTAGCCTGTCCACGTATTGCCCAGACCCTCACACAACTGCTCTGCACAGCTGCAGCTGCATCTCAGTGCTGCATACCTGGAACAGAGATCCCTGCAGCTGATTCAGCAAAGCCCTGCATCAATTTGTGAAGTAACAAAGCAGAAGGGAACCTCAGCAAGGGTCAAACGTTAAAACTTGACATTGAAAAGAGAAGCTGGAAAATCAGCAGTCTGTAAAACAAAGAGTCCCCTTCTGATGTAACACTCTCTCCTCAACCCTTGAGCCTCCCTCAGCAATTTCTGCACAAAGCTTGAATCCTCCTCTAGCGCTGTTATTTGGTAAATCAAGCTCCAGAGTCAAACTTTCTCAAAGCTCCCAAAGTTTTCCCTTTTGGAATTTTGACTTGGTGAATACCGAGCAACCAGAAAGCCTTGCCTTTGGGTCATCGTGAGAGTATGGGCTGTCTTGTTCGCTTGGTACTGAACAAAGTGGGGGACGAGGTCTGGTCCCAGCTTCACGTAGGCTCCCCTGTTGCTGCCAATCTCATAGTAGTTCGAGGCTGAAAATATGGTCAGCACCTAATCCCCCAAAAAAGAGAGGCATTTACAGTCAGTACATGCATCCTTTATTATACATATGTGTATCAGTGAAAACAAGACACCCGATCCCATCTGGAGTCAACAGACTGTAAAAGCACCATGTTTTAAGTGGAAAAGGAAGGTGGTGGCTGGGCTGGGAGCCTTATGGCTGCGAGTTCCTCGAGGGGGGGCACTGGTCCTCATGTGGATCTGGCCACACGCTGGGCTTCTGCGATTTCCTTGTACTCTACCTACAAACTTCCACTCTCCACTGCCGTGAGCAGAATCAAGTGTGTGTGTAGTGACTGAAGTGACCCTGAATCTTCAGAGAGCGAAACTTTGCCATTGCAGCAGCTTAGTAACACCTTTTGTCTGTCGTCTTCAGAAACAGCCACGTTAAGTGGGGGCAATGGCACAAATGGGTTCAGACCTTTTCTCAGCTAACACACGCAAGGACGTGCTTTGCCTGAAAAACAGATGCCTCCAACAGAGTAGGTGGCTCCAGACTGTCCTGACCTAAGACCTCAGCTAGGAACACACTCCAGTAATTCCCAATAAGGCTGTTCAATGGTTTTGTACGTATTTAACAAAGCCCCGTTGGAAGAAATGCAGAGCTGAGACAAGCCCCCACAGAAACCCCACCCTGGCAGGATGGAAACCCAGGTATGCCCTTCACCAACCTTCCGATTGTGACAGAACTCGTAGCCCTCTTGCTTGCATTCGTGGGAGCGGATGAGGAACTGCAAGTTGTACTTCTCGAGGATCTTCCCTGTCACATCAGGCCCAAAGTAGCAGCCACCACCTCGCACCGTATTTGCTGTGCAGCCCTCCTGAGGCATGGGATCACTCCAGAGAATGTCTAAAATCTGAAAGGATTGGAAAAGTTCACTGAATAAAGTGTACCCAGCCATCCCTTCAGACATGCCATTTTTCATTTGCAGCTGGGGCCCCACATCCATCCTGACTACAGATCTCTCTCTTCTTCATTGACTTTATGCTGCTCAGACATTTCATGGAAGGTAGAGTACATGGATTTAATTTACAAAGAGAACTAGGCAGCAGACCGAAGGAAGGACTAATGACTAATGCAAGTGCTTGTCATTACATTTGGAGAAGGGAAGTAGTATTTCTCAACTAGAAAGTGAGGCAGAGACAAGTTAAACAACTTACCAAAATCCTTCTGGATACCACCCATCAAAGTTTACTAAGCAAATACAGCTCTATCTCTGAATCCCTCCCTGGACTGCTGCTATTACCACAGTGCAGGGAAACAGATGTTTCCTGTATCCCAGCTGAACCACCGTACTGCTCCGCAGGACTGTCACAGACCTGGTCTGCCACACCATTGAGGTGACAATATTGCTGGCCTAGAGCTACAGGCGCACCCAAAGTGCCTGGGGAGAGAGGGGTACCCATAAACCAGGCCTGATAGCTTTCCCTTTGCTGCCTCTAAGATTTCAAAGAGCCTTGCCTGTCCTCCTCCATCCCAAAACACAGATCCCAGGGCAAGAACACCCAGCAGATCCTGAGGCCGTGAGCCGGCTTAGTATTAAACTCCTTTGCTCTCTAGCCAGGACATTCTGCAGCCTCCAGAAATGTAAGTAAGTGCTGACTCAGTAACCACTATTTGGATTAAAGTTTAATCTCTTTAACCCTGACCTCAATATATAGCTTTATGCCAATAAGATGTGCAATGCCAGGGTGTCATATATAATGTGAAGTAAGTAACAATGGCTTCAGAGTGCACAGAAGGGGCTTACAGACAGGCTGGTCTAACACAGACAGGAAACCAAGTTCCCAGGCTCCAACCTGGCTAGCGATCTACTCGCAGTGCAGCCCAGCTAAAACCACAAATTGTCTGCTTTCAGTACCCAAGATCATGACTCGCTCATCAGCAAATGGTGTGCTCGTTCATTACCTACAGAGCTGACTTCAGATACCCCATATACACAGTAAGCAAGGTAACCCCTGGGCTCTACAGTCAGTCTTGTCTATTATTTCTCTCCCTTGCAGCCAATCAAGGAAACCTCTTGCCCTACTTTTTGCCTGAGCAGCAGTTTTATTTATACAACAACGGCTGAGTGCTGTGATAGGGGCAAACGCTGGGATGGAACCTTGAGCACAGAATGCCGAAAGCCTGGTGAAGAGGCTGACTCACAAGGGTAGGAGAAGAGAACCATGCCACAGGACGGGCTGGATGTAGCCCAGGATCTAACAAAATATCCCCAAGCAGCAGAGACCACATGCTCACAGTCCAGCCCTTCCTGACCACTTACCATTAATGATCGATGCCAGGCTGTCTCAGGGTGCAGAGCAGCAGGTACAAAACACCACAAACCCCATTAGCCTGCCCGCTGGCACTTCAACGCTGAGTTGCTCCTTAACTCCACTATACAAAGCCGCAAAAATTGCTCTGCAGATACGTCTGTGCACTGACCCGCGTATTTTGTGCTGAGATTCCTCGTCACAGAGAACAAACCTGCAGGAGGCACCCACAGTCCACCAAGCTCTGCTTAGGCTGCTCACCTGCTTCCACTCCTCCTGGCGAGTCCAGCATGGCCCATCCAAATCCGTCAAGGAGACCATGCTGGAATAGGTGAGCTCCTCCGACTCCGACTCGCTGATGTCTACCAGCCGGCGGCACCACTCAATTTGCTCTTGCACCGTCTGCCGGACCCACCTGGAAAACTCCAGCCTGTTGGCCATGCTGGGAGCCTGGGCTGGCCGGGGCTGCGGACATAAACTGGAGGCTGCCTCGTTCCCTGCTGCGTCAGCCTCTACTTGGCTCTCCCCGTTTATTTCCTGTATTTCCACATTTCTGTTGGACTCCTTTCTTTTCTTCCCTCTTAATACAGAAATAAACTGAAAGAGGTAAGAGAGAAAAGAGCTGGTCACACCGCTTGGAAGCCTGCATCTCCAGCTCTGACATCTTCCATTGGCAGACTGTCGAGTGACCCGAGCCTCAATTCCCTTTGCTGCCATCAAATGGTGCTTAATTGTGGGAGATGACTAGTGCCATTCCGTCAGACATGCCATTCTTCATTTGCAGCTGGGGCCCCACATCCATCCTGACTACAGATCTCTCTCTTCTTCATTGACTTTATGCTGCTCAGACATTTCATGGAAGGTAGAGTACATGGATTTAATTTACAAAGAGAACTAGGCAGCAGACCGAAGGAAGGACTAATGACTAATGCAAGTGCTTGTCATTACATTTGGAGAAGGGAAGTAGTATTTCTCAACTAGAAAGTGAGGCAGAGACAAGTTAAACAACTTACCAAAATCCTTCTGGAAATCTAGGGGGAAAAACAGGCTAAGGTACTGTGGGGCAAAGTCTCATCGTCACCATGGTTTTACAGTCAGCACCAGCACATCTATTTAGCCCTGCCATTACCTGCCACTTCCCTGGCTACAATCCTTACATCTTCCAGAAGCTAAGAATGCTGCTTCCCTTCACAACTCCTGCACACACATACAATTAAACCTAAGTGATCCACTCCAAGCCTGTACCTAAACACAGTTTGTCTAGGAAGACCGTCCTTTAGATTTGTCTCATCAACAGCCAAGCTGACATGTAGAAATAAGCTCTTCCCCCCAAATCAGCAACACTGTTTTCTCTTGCGATACTAGGAAGTAAAACCTACTTTGTTCCTTTGAATTTTCTCAAGCATGTCCAGGTCAGTGGTGTCAGAGATGCCGCCGTGTATAACGAGGACTTTCTGATCGATCAGGGTGGCCAGGGGCAGCCAGCAGAAGACATTCTGAATCATCTTCAAGATTTTCTTTCCATGCACCTAGGAGGACAGGTCAGAAAGGAAAAGATGAAGCATCAAGCCTTCAAAGTCCACATCTCATGTGGTAAAGCAGGCACAAACATATGCCTACCTTGTATTTCTGCATTACTTCCTTGGTGAAACCGTAGCTAAAGGAACAGGAGAAAGGAAATTCAGTGGGATTTCACAGTGACACACTTGACATCATGATCAGCCCTGCACAGAACCCGTACCGTAAGTTGACCATGTGGTCCTCATGGTTCCCGCGGTTGAGATGAACCTCCTTCGGATAGATCAAGAGGAAGGTAAAGAGGATGATGAGGACCTCGAGAGACTGTTTGCCTCTGTCTACAAAGTCCCCGTTGAACACATAGGACTTGGAAGGGGAAGGAAGGCCGTTCTGTAAAAGCAAGGAACAGGCAGACGTTACAAGAGAGGCCTCCTCATCATCTCCATGTACTCCACCTCGCCCCAGGTGCGCATTCTCTCACTCCTGTCCCAGGTTACCTTAAACAATAGGTCCTGACTCTTATTTCTATCCCATAAGCTCCCAGTGGCAAATGCACTGAAAAGTGAAAGCTGGCAGTCAGGAAGGGTTGCCATTGGTACCAGCACTTACAAGAACGCCCACTGGCACTTCCCAAATACCAGATTTCAAAGTCAGCAGGGGAATAAGCTGCTGCTTTGTGAAGCCATTTAAAACCGACCAAATTGACCTGGAGAATTGCATATGAAGGGCCCAGTTTTGCAAACACTTCTCAGCGTGACCCACGCAATACCTCTCACAGCGTCGCTCTCCAAATACGGTGCCTACCTTGTAAAATATGAGGAACAAGTCATCCAGCTGGCCATGCAAGTCTCCTAACAGGCATAAAAAGACAAGTCACAGTATGTTTACCTTTACCTTAAAAAGACGCCAATAAATAACTTCCTATGAAGCATCTCCTCTGTAAATTCATGACCACTGGAGTGTTTTGGGAAGTTCAAGGTACAAGTTTCCTTATGGTGAGGCAACATCCCCAAAGGAAAAGGACACCATATAAAGGCTTGAGCTGAAGCCTCAGGACAGCCAAAAACCTACACCAGCTTCTGAAGACTGATTCAGATGCTTTGTTCATTTAGCTCTTGATAAATTATACAACATGGCACAAGAAACTGTTTGAGTTTAATCACGACATGGGCAAAAGCTTGGCATACAAAATAATAATCAAACTAATTTCTCATTTAACACAATGTTGGAGAGAGAGGTTTGTTTTCCAGAAGCTGACTGCATGCAAAAGTCTGTGCTAAGTACATACTTTTCAGAAATATCTCAAAGTTTAAACATTAGTCTTGGAGTAGGAAAATAATGGTGAACAGCTTTGTTTCTTTCGAATTTACTTGATAGGAAGCAACGACATGTTAGTACTCTGGATCTGAATGCATACGCTGCTGCTAATGAAGACTCAGCCAAAACAGCTCCAGGACTTTGTTGTTTAAATAATCCCAGGCCACAGTGCAGGACAGAAAATGACTTCGTTTTGAGGCCAGTCCTCGACTGGGTGCAGTTTCTGTGGTTTAGTTTGAGGTGACGGAACAAAGACAAATTTGAATCGAATTACAGAATTCTTTAAATCTTTGCTGTAATGTATAACAACTTTAAGAGTCACAGGCCATCATTATCACCTTTCATCTTCCCTTACACCAGTGTATATCCTTATCTTTTCCATTCATACCTCCTCCTCTCCTTGCATTTTTATAATTGCCATGACAGCAGCACTGCTACAGCAAGCTATGCCAAGCTGAACGCTACCCCCTAGGGGCAGGGTTTCTTAACGATGTATCCCAAAATCTCTCGTGGAAGCCAAATGCAGACTATAAATAGCCAAACTACCTTCCCTCAACACCCGCATCCCATTCCAGACCAAGCAGAAATAGGGCCATGGTGCAGACACACTCCCTCCAGTCTCCAGGCTAGTCTTCACAGCAGCTCATGTACAGCATCATAAGGTAAACACATATTTTAGACAGCCCCAGCTGCCTCTCAGTGCACCACACATCTTGCTTACAGACTGCATTTGTGTTTCACACTCAGTACAGAGGAGAGCATCATGCTCATGCTACCATTTTATGTCTTTCCCACCCGTTCCACGTGAGCATTCTGCCACAGAGACTGCGCAGTGCCCTCCCACCCAGACGTACCGCACACAGTGACCTCCTCACTGTAGCAGGTCGAGACATGACTGATGTTTGGCAACTGCTTGAGGTGCTTCCTGGTCTCGTGTAGAAGGTTTAAGACATAGCGAGCGTGGAGCTGCTACTAGGAGAAAGCGAAGGGATTAAAGCAGGAAGTCAGTGACCTCCAAGCAGCCACGCAGCTCTGTCTGCAAAGGCCCCAAGGACCCACCACGACAGCTTGGATGGTGGACACTCTCACTGGGACAACACTCAGCACTGACCTATGGGCTTACAAACAAGACGAGGCAAATACTGGGAAACAGCAGGACAGCAGAGTCGTGGAAAGCAGCCCAGCCTCGGCCCTGACAGGGCTGGCAAGAGAACCCAGAAGCGCAAGAGAACCCTACCACCCTGTGGTCAAGGCTATATCCACTAGGCAAGACTGCCTCCTAGAGCAGCAGAAATTCCAGCCCAGTATCACAGGTAAGAAGCTGCTCCTCTAGACATTTCTTAGCGTTTTCCACATTAAACCAGGCCATGAGCTGCCGTGTGTCCTGCAGAAAAATGTTCGCTCAATGCCAGGGTAGGCATTTAATAGTCAAGACACTAGAGACCTTTGGTTTAAAAGTCATTTTGTTTGGAGAAGGGATGTTTTGGCCTATTTTGCAGTTCAGCTGCTTGACTGAGGGATGGCAGCAGAACACTGCAATTGTACGAGGACTTGTTAGTGCTACTGAATTGGTACTGGACTTGCTCATCAAAAACCTTGCCTTTTACATTTTAAATATAAGTTGAAGTTGCATGGCACAAAACATAATTTTAATCAGCTGGTTCCATCTGGGCCATCCTGTAGTTTTTTACAAATTGAGGAATTGCAACAAAAAATGACAGAATGTTTCAATATGGACTGTTGCGGGGTTTTTTCCTTTTGAAATGAAATTCAGGTTAACAGTGGTGCACACCTAAGAAGTTTTCAGTTTTATCAGAACTGCATTTTCAGAAAGGAAAAAAGGTCCTACAGCAGGGGAAAATAACTGCCAGATCATTTCCACCCTCCTTTGCATAACAGCCTACCAGCTCGTTGTACTCCAGTCAGCTTAGCTTCTTAGGAAGGCTAAAACCAAATTATCTATCTTACACCCACCCTGCACAGAGAAGGGGAAAACGTGGTTTCTTTTGTGATCCTTACTTGTTTCTGTTTAAAAGCTTCCAGCAAGGCAGTTGCATGGTCAGGAAGGAGTGGGAAAGAGAGACGGGGTCCAGTGTAGGAGTCTGGCACCTCCATGGATTCATAGTCACAGTATTTTTCCAGCTCTGCCTCTTTGAAGCTTTCCCCACTTACAAACATGCGACTGATAAAATCCCCTGGATGGCAGGTTGGTCAGTTTGATTGTTTTTTAAAAAAGAGAAAGAGACAAGAAAAAGTTACGTTGGCTCAATACACCATTCTGGTGATTTGCTGAGGAAAAGCTGTTGGGTTAGGCTACAGCTCATGAGCAATGGCAGCGGTGGAGGCTAGCTCCTAGTTTGAAATTGCTACAGGATTTGCAGTGGCCAAAAGGCTTCAGGGACAAGTTTCCATGTGCCAGCCAGTGCTGGCAGCACTGCAAAACTCTGGTAGAGCCACATGGACATCGGTTGCCATGGCAAATTAAAATCTTATTTTCAATGATATGCAAAAGAAAACCGTATAATAAGAAACCGTCTCCTATGTCCCACTGTTTTTTTCTAAGCATCGACGTTCTCAGTGTTGCACAAAATTTGTATAAATACGCGTTATTTTTGATTGCTGTAACATCTCAGAGCCCAACATTTTTGTCCAGTTTTATACTGACCCTGAAAAAAATCTTCCTTAACAGACTTTTGCTGTAAAATATGTGGGGTAATTGTGAGAAAAAAGGTGGCAGTTTGAAAGGAAGGAACGAGCACTTCTGCAGGTTATGGTCTGCAGTATCCCAAAAAGAAATCGTTAATTTTCACTTACTACCATCAGATTTCAGAGCTAAGCTCATTCACAAGTTCCTAGCACTCAGAAATAACATATAATGCTCTCTGCAGATTCGGGAAGATACCATATTTGCTCCCGCAGCACTTCCGCCCCCCCCGCCACCCCAATTATAAGTGAGAGACTAAATATAAATAGATAACCCAGAGCACAGTTTCCTAAAGAAGGATTCTCTTGCTTCAGAAATGGACTCTGCAAAGCCCTGGTTACCAGGGATCACTGAGAAAAGGCAGATTTCTAGTACTGCTCTTAGAAAACATACTGATCTTTTATTCCCCCTCCCAGCTCCTAAGGAGCAGGAATTGCCCCATATCCCTCACACAGCTCTGACAATCTCCAAACAATTCATTCCCTATCCAAACTCCTGGTGCCGTCGCTCTTTAGATTCTCTTGGCCCCCTTTGCCATCCTGAAGGGCCAGCATTGGGCAATGAATCGCTAAAGGATGCAACCTTCTGAGCTGCTGGTGCCACCTCCACAAACAGCAATGTAGAAACTCACTCTCTTTACTGCTGCTTGGCGTGAAGTGGTCCATGAGGTAACTGAAGAAGTTGTGGAGCTGCAAGAAGAGAGAGAGCCCATCATCATTTACCCTGGAATGATATTCTGCAGAGTGGCAACTTAACATCATCTTCTTTCTGGAAGTGTCATCTATGCCCTTCTCACGTTGTCTGGTATGTACAATACCATACCAATTCTAGTTTTGAATATGTTGTCATGAAGTCAAAAAAGTAGCTTTACCTTCAGTCATACAGACAGAAGTACACCCATAAGCCCTTCATCTCCCTGCCTGACAGCAAGGCAACCATATAAGAGAATATTGTCAAAATAAAACAAATCAACTAGTCTTGCCTGTTTTGCTCAGACTTGGGAAGTCTTACAGTGCTAAATGCTCCTTATGGATTTCTTTCAAGGCTTATTACTTAGGGTTTCGTCAGACAGAAGCAGGTAGGAAATCAATAGGCTAAGAAGGGACGGAAAACCCAGTCCTTGGCCCACTGAAGCACTTGCAGGGCTACCAGCCAGTCTCCAGAAATGGGCGAGTCTGTGGCACAGAAACCACCCTCCTATGTATCTTCCTACGTACTCTTTTCCTTGGGACCTTACCTTGATCTGGTCCTGCTCGCAAGCGTACTCAATGGATTGAAAAATTCTCCAGGTGCAACGTCGGCGCATTTCCAGCCGAGCAACGTAGCGCCGATACCACCGTTGGATCAAGACGGCTGCCTTGAAAGCTGGGGAACAAAACCAGAACCAGCCTCCTGAGCTGCAGTGGCTGCAGCTGCTACCACTCCTTTCCCAACCCTGAAAACTGAGGAGGGACCTTTCTCTTTCAGAAGCAAGTTTTCAGGAAAGGTGTTTTGATACCTAAATGCTAAGGATAACAAAACACTTCTTTTCACCATATTGCTAGAGGTTGATCTGACCCTGCCTGACCAGAGACCTCTGAAGTGATTCTAACCATCACTGCTGGCTCCTTAGCACCAGCGTTAACAACTTATTAGGGCCTAAAGATCAAAACATGTTCTTTCATATTAATAGACTATTTCCTCCCTTTCTGTCTACCTTGAACATTTTTATGTCTGTCTTACAGTCTAGGTACTGTGGCTTCAGGAAACCAGAGATTTGACTGAGGAGTTGGGGGAAAACAAAACACCAGTCCCCTTCCAGAGCCTTAAAAATAGCAGTTCTGGACAAACTGCATAAGGGATCTATTCTAGTGTAAATACCATTATCTTGGCATAAAACAAAGACAAAATTAACACCCACAGTGAAAAGCGGGAGGCAGATCTTTGCCCACTTAGTGACATAGAAGGAGCAAAATGTCAGGAATTTCCAGGTGCCTGGGATGGTTCAATCCACAGCCAGCCCTGGCACCAGGCTCTTCCCTCCAAATGATGGCTATTTGCCCTCGTCTTTAATATATAACCATTTCTCTGCATTTCCCCAATTCCAGTGTTTCTCATTTCAAAAGATTATTTCATACAGGGTGTGTGCATATTTAAAGTGAAGTACAGTGGTGCAGTTGCCCATTTCCTTTTTGAAGTTCTACCACAGAACTTGATGTACCTCTAGAAACTCTTCCATCCTCCTCAGCTGGTGTTGACCACATTTGGACCGCCCAGTTACTTTACAGCATGTGGTCAACCAGCTCTGCTACTTGGTGTCTCTCTTTTGATTCTGCTCTTCGTCCCTTCCCCTTTGTTTCTGGAGCCCTACATTTAAAACTGTTCCTAACAATGCTTCTCTCTGTCGTCTTTAGCTGAGGGAGAGAGGGAGGGATGACTGCTGTATCTACAGGCTGGCCCCAAAATCAAACGGAGATGACAGAGTTAGCCCTTCTGCAGAAGCTCATATTCCCTTGGCATCTGGTTTGTGAGACAGCAATGCCCCATTCACCAAAGCAGTGAGAGCAATGGGGATGTGGGGTGGAAAAACTTTATTAAAAAATGAAATCTGCCATCCCTACCCCAAAGGCTGCTAAGTGCTGGCAAGAGACGAAGAGATCACATGAATTCGGTTAGCTTCTGTTATTATATAACATAAACCACCCTCTGTAGCAGGAAACGCTGACCTGTACCTTCAAGAATATAGCCCAATGTCTTATGTATTGAAAATAATAATCCTTCTAAATTATGTTACTGTTACAGCACTGGGAGCTGCAGAGCACAAAAAGGGAAGAGCTATTGCTGTTGTGCCGCTGGGGAAGTGAGTCACGGTGAAGTCACGCACAAGAAGGTAAGACTTGGCTAGCCTTAATTCAAGAATAGGGAGTGTTATTCAAGAATAACTTCTTGAATAGTGTTCTTTGCCTGAGCCTTACATCTTGTTGAGAAAATGCTTACTGATCTGCTGGGCTCCGAAAAAATAAAAGAGGCTGACTTTCTCTCCTGGAGTTTGGTGCTCCTGATGCTCGCTCTTCAAGACTCCTTTATAACAGACCCAACATGAGCTGCCTTACTCCCTGTACAGTAATTTGGCTGGCATGTAACATGAATCACAGTCACTGTCACTCTCTAAAATAAACAACTTCTAAATATCTTGCATTCCCCTAATGGTGCATAAATGTCCAATTAGTGCAGTAAGTCAGATGTGTTTCAACTGAATCCTGAGCAGAAATTCAGAGTTACAACTCCACATATACTGACGAAAACTAGATTCTTCAAACATTAAAAATAAAATCTATGACTCGTTATCAAGTGCACAGTGAGCATGTATACCACCATCCACAGCATTTTAAGCTCCAGATAGGCAAGGCATTGTTTTCTTACACTACTTTTACAGAGACTGACTCTGTAACTGAAAAAGCCAGGTATTCTAATTTACCAGCTTACCTGGGTGAGTTGCATCTGGCAGTGTTTGTACTAGTTTAGAAAAAAAAAATAATAAAAAAGGAAGAGAAAGAGATTTATCCACATTTTATGAGGATCCAAGCAGTGAACTGATTCATACATCACCTTATTTGCTACTGAAAGCATGCCAAAGTGGCAGCACTCAAACTAAAATATGCCTGTTCACACATCAGCTTCCAGGAGGGAATCTGCGCCCTCTCTTGGGTTCCCCGTCCCCTTCTTCGCTCAAGTGCAGGGCCAGTTTAACACAGCTCTGCTGGCTACGCTTTCCATCGGGAACAGCCTCTGCACTTTGTACAAGGGGGACAGGATGACACTTGACACATTATACTTGGGTGGAAAGTCCTAAGCAGCTTCGTGTCTTCAGATCACGAGATCTGAAGGATTTTGAGAACCAGATGCAAGAAATTCAGAGGGGTTTTACTGCCATGGGAAACTGTGGCTGAGGTATCGGATCTAATGCAAACTTTCAAATAAGTAACTAGTTTTATGTTACACTTTGTTTGTTATAGACAAGCCATTATCATAAAATAGCCCTGAACTTGTTGGGAAAGTCCATGGTTCTCTGGTGCTACAGGCAACAGACGAGTCTAACTTACTTAAATAAGAAGTGGAGTTTTCAAGAAAGAAAAATTACAAACAAAAAAGAATGAGTCACAACAGAATCCCCTCTTTCTTCATTTCTCAATGCAATCACTCTTTTTCTTTTCAAAGCACTTGCAAACAGTTTGCTCTGCTGTTCTGCTAATGCTGGTGGCTGAATGATTCAAACAACAAAGTAATCTCTTTATATTTTTCTACACTTCCTTATGTGTAAAGTCCCACTCATAAACTCCCTTTGTTCCACAGCAGACCTAAGCACACACCCAGAAAATTGATACTGTCATAGAGGGTTTCATTAAAATAAATCATTACAGCTTCAAGAGCCATGAACAAGCAGAGATGTGAGCGTTGTGTTGATGGGGTTAGAAAAAAAGCACACTTCTTGCTTTTCGACTTTTCTTAGCCACACCATTTTACCTTCTTTAGAACCACTTTTTTTTTTTTGGCTTTGCTAATGCTTCTGCTTTACCAGTCCTGCATCACTAACAGGGTCTTTAAAACTGCATTCCACCAGAAGCAGCGGGGTGATACCATCTATCTCGCTGTCAGCACATGACAATACACACATTATCCAGCAATTGATTAATCCATCGGGTGTTAGTTCTATCAGAATTGCTTTTTGCTGCTTCATTTCCGGTCAGGTTTTGATGGACTTTAATCTAATCCTGGTCTAAATAGACATTATTTTCTCAAGCCTGTCAGCTTCTGCCTGACAGCTGAGAATCCTTGTCACAGGATACTGAAGGATACAACCTCACCTCAACACCATCAAGAAAACTAGGTCTCTCAGAAAAGAAGCACATCCACTGCAACCTCCCAACAGCACATGCAGGAGCAGACAGGAGAAGATCACTCACCATTTTCAGACTTCTGCAGGGAGTACTTGTAGTTGGCATTTACAGAACTACCAGATCCCATGTTCTCCAACCAATGCTCCTAGAATGTTGCAGACTGGCCCAGTATCACCAAAACCATGAAAGAGATGCAGGAAAGACCATTTGATCAGAATCAGAACAGCTGCAACATGTCCCACAGAATCTATAATTAAATATATTAACGCTCATTAAGATCAACAAGCAGGTGGCCTGTCTTGTGCCCAAGTATATCTTCCATTACCAGGTTTTCCCAGCTACTTTGTTGTCTTCTAGACAATCTGAGAGGAGGATTTCTGTCTTCCTGTTCCAAATTGCAAGTCAACTGTATGAATAGGAATCATTTCAGCACCTTTCCTAGTTGTATAAATAGCAGAGAGAACCTACCTAGGTTCTGTAATTGTACAGTAGAAGTATAAATCAGGCATTCATGTACTTTCACAGTGCTTCACATGCATAATTTTAGGCTCCTAAACTCATAGCAATATGGCCATCTTTGACCTGAACCCTCATTTCAGATACTACAATAAAATCATCTTGATTGAGCTCTGAGAGCACACTACATCTCTGAATCCTCATGCTACCTCCCCCCTTCCTCATGCACAGCTGAAGCACCTGGATGAAGATGCTAAAATACTACACATGACTGCATGAGGGAGGCATTTATACGCTGTATAGAAAAAAAAAAATTCAGTACCCATCAGGAACCATAAAAGTCATTAAGGTGATTCATTAACAATCAGTATATGCAGACAAATATTCATGCATATAGCCATCTGCGAAGGATAACTCTCGTTATGGGGGATGAACACACAGATGGTATTTAAATCTATTTGCAGTACCACAGCTAGAGGGGAGGTAAGTCTAAAATAAAAATTAGCGATCATAAGAAAACAATCACCTTTGTTAAACACTACTTTCCTTCACCTCGTGGATCTGCCTGAGTGTGGGAGCATATTGTTCCATCAGTTGCTCAGATCCTGGCCAGTATAAAAGGACAAGACAGCCAGACTTCTGTAACCTCACTGCTGCGGAAAGCTGTGGTTAGAGCAAACGGATCCTATTTCAAGATTAGGTCAAATTCTAAAATCTCTCAGTTTGAGGACAACCAGAATGCTGTTCACAGTCAGACGTGTTTCCTCTGGAAAAAAAACCCAATGATGTACAACTGCCAAAGTGGTCCCCCAGGCTGTATCACATAGGAATTACACAGATTTTTATTCTAACCTGGGGAAGAGAAAGGTGAGAAAGGGAGGGAAGGAAATAAATGCCTGTAAAAATGTTAAGCCTGGTGCTAGCAGGACACTGCAGCTCAAAGGATTTTGAAGGGTCGGGACAGTGTGACTACAGAGGCACTTCTCCCCAGCAGAGGGCAAAGCCCTCCTTTTCTCACTTCCCGCAATCCTTTTGCCTCCTTCAATCTCTTTCCACCTAACCCACGTCTTTCCTCTCAAAATAGCTACAGATCTGCACAAACGCTAATTGAAGGAACACGTCCGGTGTTGTGTAAGGTGCATGTGTGCAGTGTTTGTTTGCTCAGGAAGGTGAGCCATGCCAAGCAACATTTCAGCATGGAAAGCTTCCAAGGCAGATGAAATGCCGAAATTCTCCACCTTGCCCAGGATGCCAAATTGCACAATGGCATCTTCACAACGGGAGGATACGTAGCAATGCTCTCCAGTCACTCTAGTTTTAGTCTAACAACATTATTTCCCGTCAGTGTCAAAAATGGCCTGAAATCACTGCTGAATTTTGCCCAGTTACATGGCCTTTACGCTTAAATAATGCAGGTACTCTGGCAACTTTTCAGATTCTTAACTACTCAAACGGACTATTGCACCAAAAATCAGAATCTTTAGCATTTAAGACTCGTATTTGTAAGCTCCTGTACAAGGCAAATCCTATTTCAGGAAAAAAAAATTTCAAGCTCAAAATTTCTCAGTGTAGACTTGTAACTCCCATCTGGCTATCCAAACAAAAACGTCTTCTCTAAGACACAAATCTGAAGATTTCAGCAAGTGTTAGCTATCCAGAGAAGCAATGATACGAATGATCTGCTCTGTGTCGGGAGCTTGCTTTAGAAACAATGATCCCGCAGCACCTCCACTGACTGCATTCTGGTGTAACCTGGCGGGGCAGCGCGACACAGGTTCCTTTCAGCTGAAAGGACACCAGTAGACCCACTGGCTAGTACTCCCAACTACTGAGAGTTCAGCCCACAGGACCAGATTCAAGCCAGGCCCAAGAAAAAACCCTGAAACATGCTAAGTGGAGACAAGTTTCCTCCACACCGGAGGTCAACACAGCCTGTGTGCCTAGCTCTATCTTCAGTGCTGCTTAGGAACCTGACAGTACCAGCTTCAAAGGAAGATGGATGCTTCAGCTTTTTGGAAGAAGTGAGTGCCTTTAAAGGTACCCTTAAAAATGCAAATACGAGGAGAAAAATCCTTCTTCAAGAACCAGAACACTTCCAGATCACTTTTTAAAAATGGAGAACAAATTTGAAGCAAGCGCTGAAGTAGAGTTAGATGCTTTGCTTGCTTAGAATGTGTTCAGTGGTACCGCCTATCTGCTTTGGTAAAAAGTGACCCTGGATTTGAGAGCACCTTTGGAGACACAAAATAAAACTTTT